GTTCAATTTCCGGTAATCACAACACAGTCTTATCTCCCCTGACTTCTTTTTTACCACTACAATCGGTGCCGCATACGGGCTTGTACTAGTTGTAATAATTCCCTTTTCTAGTAGATCATTCAGGTGTGCCTTCACCGCCGAGTAGTGACTTGGTGGTAATCTTCGGTAGGGTTGCGCCACCGGCTTGTCTTGTAGTAAGGGTATCTGGTGTTTGATTATCTCCGTGTACCCCAAATCACCCTCATACGAGACAAATATATCCTTGTATTTATTCAGCAATTCATTCAGTTTTGGGTCCTCAGTTTCTGGGAATGTATATGATCGGCCATCCTTTTGCTTCACCTCGGCCGTCACATTGACCGACCTAATTGTTACTTCATTACTGCTGGTATTAATCAGTTCGATGCACTGTGCCGACCTTTGTACCTCGACGTTCTGTGGTACTCCTACCAGAGTATTAGGCGGTATAAAAATTTCCTCATCCAAAACATTTGCTACCAACCCTTGAACTAGTCCATTTTCCGCTGATGTGTATGTCCGCAGTAACACGACGCCTGCCCTCAGTGCGGCGCCACATGGTTCTATCATCACATCACCATTTACACTTCTATCACCAATTTGTAATGTGATTGCCTTGACCGTGTTTGCCGGGACTGCTGTCCTTCCTTTGGTCTTGGCAAACCTGGCCAACCTGGATTCTCGACCTGATGTGGGCGATCCGACTATATTTGTAGGAAATTCTGGCAACTGACCAAGAATATTCATGCCCAATAGGCAAGGTATGTTTGACACATTTGTCTCTAGGTTGTGTTTCGTAACGAACACCCCAACCTGCTTCAACTTATGTCCCGCCACCACGACATCCGTCAGAAAATAACCGCAGTATGGAATGGTAAGTCCATTAGCTGCCGTTAGGCGCATGCATGTGTCCGACCTCAACCTATGGTCTTTTCCTTTCATCCATTTGGTGTAAAAATTTTCCGTAATTGTCGTCACCTGGGAGCCTGTATCCACAATTGCCTTCACCGCGATGTCCCCAATCGTAATCACCATTTCGGGACAGACTCCCATCAATTTGTTTCTTGGGCCATAACCTCGCCCCTCTGTAGCTTGGCCCTGCCTTACAGAGGACGACCGTTTCCCTGGCAGTACCGTGCCATATGTCCGGGTTGTGAACAGGACAAGCAAATTGGTCTACCATCCGCCGTCCACCGGAGCGATGGACCGGCGGGTCGCGGCCGTCCAACCCGTCTCTGTTTTGTCTCGTTCCTTTCCTGATTCTCAGCTGTTGACCTGCTTTCTAACCTCTTCAAGCGTTGGTCAACCTTCTCTATGTGGGCCAACAGTTGAGCCATCATGGTCTCCATCGTGTCGGCCCCTGTGGGTGGGGATTGTTTCTGTTCTGGCACAGAGACTTTGTCCACCGAACAGTTCGATTGGTCCTCATCCTCGGACCTGCGGATCGCTGAGTTCCTGACCTGAAGGAAGGTCAACTGCGGGTTTCTGTGGACCTCCTCTTTCAACTCTCTCCTTAAGATCGGGGTTGCTAGCCCCTCAATGAAATGGTCCCTCAGTAGGCGTACATCAATGTCAGGTGTTTTGCCCTTTACCAAATCAAAGGCCCTGTTCATCCGGTGTGAGTACTCCATCACACTCTCCGCCATTCTCTGCTTTAAGCCTACGAATCCCGATAGCAGTTGCGATCCCGACCGTCTCTCCCCAAAGGTCTCCATAATCAGATCTAGCACCTTATCTGGATCTGATTGGACGGTTTTATCGTGGCATTTTACCTCTGCCCTAACCGTTTCACCTATACTGCCCATCAGCAGTCTTAATCTTTCCTCTGGTGACATGTGTCTCGAGGCCCAGGCCGCTTTGACCTCTTCCCTGAACCTGTTGGTTAAAGTTGGATCTCCGTCCCCGTAAAATTTGTTAATGTGGGACTCTCTGGGTAGGACCACTATATGGGTCTGCTTCTCGTCCAGAGTAGACATTTTATTCCTTAAGTAAAAAAAAAAGAGTTCTTTCTTACCGTGTGTGTATGAAAAATTTTTCCTCGATTTTCACAGTTCCTGAATGTCCGAATTCACACACACACAAAACACAGTTATGCACAAGGTTGACTATGGGTGCCTTAAACGGCAAGTCTAGTTGAATCCATCCTGATCGCAGCGCCAATTGTAACGGGCGAACATCTATCCTGCTCGCAGCGGCAATTGTAACGGGCGGACATTTATCCTGCCGACAACGCCAATTATAACGAGCCAACAGTTACTATGCTCGCACGCCACATGTAATGAGACCTAATTGTCTGTAGTGCCAAATGTTAACGAGTTCTGACCACTCATTCTAGACAACATCGACCACAGTATAGATACTCAAGATGCAGGTTCGCTATTGATCCTTTATTACATGAATCAAGAAATGTTTCATAATCACACAAGAAATCAACAGGAATGCTTCTCAATAATAGTCTGGATCAACTGACTCCCTAACAGTCCTCACTAGGCTTCGTATAACTGAATCCACATGTCTATAGTCCTTCTTTACACAATACGGCTAACCCGTTCAATAACCAACATTGATACTGTCACAACTAGCGGTGAAAAGAGAAGAGCTACGATCTCAGCCGTCCCCTCCTATTTATCCTTAGTATTCGAAGTCGTACTTGTCTCCATTTCCGTAATCGATACTTGTAATCGATGTATCCGAATACTAATGTCGCAGTTTCTGACGTACCGTCCGATTTACTAAAACATCTGCATCCCATCAATCAAAGTTGACAGCTCGTCTGAAACTTCTCGTACCGTTTCCCAAAATAGCACGCGTTGGCTTTGAGATTGTTATCAGACCGATCCAATAAGCCACCTGTTATAGTTGCATCAGATTTCATACTGCGTCGCGGCTTATCGTTCGTTATCAGTTGTAACTAGTAGCCAGGCCTACCCCCGTTACATATATATATATATATATATATATATATATATATATATATATATATATATATATATATATATATATATATATATATATATATATATATATATATATATATATATGTATGTATATATATGTATGTATATATATGTATGTATATATATATATATATATATATATATATATATATATATATATATATATATATATATATATATATATATATATATATATATATATATATATATATATATATATATATATATATATATATAACCTAAATATAGGAGGCTATGTTGGGACAGTATAAGATCAAATCATGGCACTAATGATCAGAGAGCTAAGTCTAAATGCACTAATAAATTGATTGCACGTATCAGCTAAACCTGCTAGACAACGCACGTAAATATTCGTTCGATCAGGCTGTACAGATTGATTAGATACGGGCAGATCGATAAAGAGATGATTAGACATGTGCTGAAAGAGGATATCAATCGATTACATTTTATTGATTAGTTTGCGGAATAAATCGTGCATTATCAAATTTTGGGATCTTCGCGAGAAACGAAAAACCAATTATCTACGCTTCAAAAAAAAACTTCATTAAAATATTTTGTGCGCGAATCTTTTAAGAGAGTTGCACTAAAAAAGATGTCAGACTATATATAGAAACTTGTATTGCTGATCGTAAATTAATCTGATTCGTTAGGTAATAACTAACGACAAATCAATATTATAAATTTTAAAATATAAAAAATTAAAATGTTAAAAATAAAATACCACTTTAGAGAAGTTATGTGTAGGAAAGAAGATCTAAGTGCATTATATATTTTTTTGCCTGCCTCTGTATGTGATGGTTCAGGGGTGTGGAGGCTGGGGGGGGGGGGGGCGGTAACCATCTTCATCATAGTTTCACCCATATATCCCCTAGACACATGGGGCAGATGAAGTAGAGCTCACCTTTTTCAATGACCTCGTCATACAAGCGGATAGTGTGGTCAACACTATACGTCCAGTCACTTTTGTTTCTCTAACGTGAGTAAGGTACCCATCAGAGCTGGGTGGACTCAGGGACGTCCTATAGACTCCAGCCCTGGTTCCAAACTCGAATCTCTCAAACTATTAGTCGTAAAATCTACCATTCGACCACGCCATCTGTAAAACTGTTTAATTATCTTTGCAGCTAACGTGTTCATAATCTGTTTAGTTAAAGCATTAATGATCTGTAGCTCTGTATAATGATCTGTTCAGCTAGTCCATAAATGATCTTTACCTCTGTATGATGATCTCTTCAGATAAAGCATTAATGATCTGTAACTCAGTGGCGTAGTGGGGGGGGGGGGCGGAGGGTGCGCACCGCACCGGGTGACACCATTTAGGGGGGGGGGGTGACACCAAGGCAAAAAATAGCAAAATATATAGAGAAAATGATAATTCCACTTAACTAAGTGATTAATTCGAGTGTTAAAACGTCTTTTAAGAGCAAATTTTAAAGTTTGCAAGTTTTTCCCCCGGCGCCGGGAAGGGTCGCTATGCCTCTGGGGGGTGACACCATGAAGTGCCGCACCGGGTATCAACCGACCTCACTACGCCACTGCTGTAACTCTGTATAATTATATGTTCTGCTAGTCCATTCATGACCTGTTCTGCTAGTCCATTAATGACCTGTTCAGCTCGTCCATTAATGACCTGTTCAGCTAGTCCATTAATGACCTGTTCAACTAATCCATTAATGACCTGTTTAGCTAGTCCATTAATTACCTGTTCAGCTAGTCCATTAATGACCTGTTCAACTAGTCCATTAACGACCTGTGCCAATGTATAATGACCTGTTCAGGTAGTCCATTAATGACTTCTTCAGCCAGTCCATTAACGACCTGTGCCACTGTATAATGACCTGTTCAGCTAGTCCATTAATGACCTGTTCAGCTAGCCCATTAATGACCTGTTCTATTAGTCCATTAATGACTTGTACAGCTAGTCCATTAATGACCTGTTCTACTAGTCCATTAATGACTTGTACAGCTAGTCCATTAATGACCTGTACCTCTCTCTGCACACAGGAAGGATGTACCGGTCAGGCGTGGACGACCAAAATCCCCAAGATGGCGCAGCCGGATCTGAACTTCATGGCACCGGAAGTGCAGCTGAACAAAAAGTGCACGCCCCTCAGTGACATGTTCTCTGTCGGGATGGTCATCTGTGCCATTTACAACGAGGGCAAGTCTTTGATCAACGCTGACCACAACCCTAACCTTTACGTCAAACAGTTAGACCAGGTAGGATTCGTACGCATGTGTCCTTTTCAATCTCAATCAATTTAACTTACTGACACACATACTGATATATATATATATATATATATATATATATATATATATATATATATATATATATATATATATATATATATATATATACATATATATATATATATACACATATATATATATATATATATATATATATATATATATATATATATATATATATATATATATATATATATATATATATATATATATATATATATATATATATATATATTGACTAACGCCACTCTTGACCCCCCCCCTCCCCCCCCCCCCCAGATGCATGACACGTTTGGAGTTGTGGCCCATAAGATGCCCCTACAGCTTGTAGAACCAGTGGAGAAGATGATCAACAAAGATGTCCGCTACAGACCTACTGCTCAACTTTTTTCTTTGGTAGGTCACTGGGGATAGTTTAGTAGGTCATTAGGTATTTTTTGGGAGGTCATTAGGGCTAGTCGGGTAGGTCACTGACTCACTGGTGTGTGTCAGGTAGGTCATTAGGGATTGTTTGGTAGGTCACTGAGGTTCACAAATCTAGGGGAAGGGGTATTACGTGCAAATAGCACGATGTCGATTCATACGTCCCCCTCCTTCAGATGCAAAGAAACAGTTGAATTCTCACATAATTTTACACAATATTTCAAAATGCTATTAAACTGGACGGTTTTTTTCCCTTAAAATATGTTTCTAAATAAGATTTATGTGGTAAGGGAAGCAATTCAATATATATTTGTACTATCTTTGTTTCTCTTGGTTATCTCCCTTAGAGAGGTGGGGTTGTTTTTGTTTGTTTTTTTGTTTTTAATTTTTTTTATAACTATTCCTTGTTATTTATACATTTTTATATAATCGAGAGTTCATCAATTTTAGCTACTCGGTTGTGACTAAGCAACAATAAATGTGTTAACATATGTTCCCCAGTTAAAATATTTTAACGACCCGGTTGTGATTAGCCTACACGGCATGGACATGTGTGACCGACGGGACGCCGCCCAACGAGTCGAGGCCTATAGCAGCCTGTCGCAAGTTGTCCCCAATATACCCAGGGTAGGTAACTCTCTTCTCTTGTTATTCATATAACTTTGAATAAACTATATTTTATTTCATATTGTTATTATAAAACTTTGTAATATTATTTTTATTTTAAATCAAGACTGATATAAACTGGAACGTACATCATTTAAAAAAAGTACTAACTTTTTACATTTTTGACAACGGCTATCTCCCTTTTAAAACGCTTTTTTTTTTCTTTCAAAATTATTTTAATAATTGTTGACGGATTTTTTTATTTTTACAATAGCTTGAATTTTAGCGTATTTTCAATATCGCAAAAATAAAGGAGGTTACTCTCAGATAGTTTTTTTTTAATCTTTGATGCCTCCCTGGAATAAAAATACATATTGAAAAAATTTAAATAAGTAACTCAGAAATAATATTCTTCATTTTAAAAAGTTTAACTTTTAGAAACTATTTCAATTTTACCATTGTAAAAAGTACTAAATCATGAATATCTCTAAAACATGTTCGCTGTTATAATATAAAACTTGATTGTTCCCAGAAAAATCCTCTATACATACGTGTTCCCTGATAATATACTATAAAACTTGATTTTCCCAGAAAATCCTCTAAACATACATGTTCCTTAATATACCATAAAACTTGATTGTTCCCAGAAAATCCTCTATACATACGTGTTCCCTGATATACTATAAAACTTGATTGTTCCCAGAAAATCCTCTATACATACGTGTTCCCTGATATACTGAACGAGTGCAAGTGTCCAGACTCCGTCATCTTTGCCTTACCTACCCTCATCACCATCATAGACTATGCTACTAGGGCCGACTATGTAGATATTATAATGCCAGAGTTTCGTGCTATTCTGGCCAATGCCAAGCCTGTCCAGGTAAGTGGGTGACGTTTTTGTCACATTTCATTTTACGGAATATTACGTATAAATACGTATAAATACCCAATGCCGAACAGCGGAGAAAAACCGGGAAAAATACTTTTGGCAAAGAAATACAAAAGCTAAATAAATTGGACATTATTTTGTCTACCCAACTCGGCCACTGTGTAGACTACATATTGAATAAACTGGACATTATTTTGTCTATCCCACTAGGCCACTGTGTACATACTGAATAAACTGGACATCATTTTGTCTAAATCACCGCTGGACGAAATTAAGGGCGAGGTGCTACCATTTGTCTTCAACACACTAGACTCATCCTCGTTACAGGCACAGGTGAGATTAGTCTCGGGGGTGTTTGGGAGGGGGTGTGGGGGGAGGGTGTTAAGGAGGGAGGAGGGGAGGGGAGGGTGTTTGGGAGGTGTGGGGGGGAGAGTGTTTGGGAGGTGTGGTGGGAGGGTGTTTGGGAGGTGTGGGAGGAGGGTGTTTGGGAGGTGTTGGGGGAGGGTGTGGGAGGTGTGGGGGGAGGGTGTTTGGGAGGGAGGAGGGGAGTGGGAGGGTGTTTGGAAGGGTTGGGGTGGGATTCATAAGTGCAGGTTAGTTTAGTTTTGAGGTTTTGGGAGATGGGGGGGGGGTCCTAGAGATAAAGATCTAACAATTACAGTAACGTGAGAGGAAATAATGAGTAGTGAGGTCATGGAAGGTTTGGAAGACGATTGTGATGTTATTACAGTGTGTCATCTTGTGTCAGTCAACATGTCTTCTTGTGTCAACGTGTCTTCTTGTCTCGTCTTGTGTCTCTCATCGTGTATATCCTGGTGACTACGTGTGTCTTCTTTTGTCAATATGTGTCTTTTTTCGTTATCGTGTGCTTTGTTATGTCAAAGTGTGTCTGTGTGTGTCTACGTGTGACTGTGTGTCTACGTGTGTCTGTGTGTGTCTACGTGTGTCTTCATTTGTCAACGTGTGACTGTGTGTATCTACGTGTGACTGTGTGTCTACGTGTGACTGTGTGTATCTACGTGTGACTGTGTGTCTACGTGTGTCTGTGTGTATCTACGTGTGGCTGTGTGTCTACGTGTGACTGTGTATCTACGTTTGGCTGTGTGTCTACGTGTGTCTGTGTGTGTCTACTTGTGTCTTCATTTGTCAACGTGTGTCTGTGTGTGTATGTGTGTGTCTGCGTGTGTCTACGTGCCCCACTCAACATATCCTGTAAAATTCCAATCTTCCACCCCACCAAGGAAGCGGCTCTTGTTGCCATTGGCGACATCAAAGAGTTCCTTGACGACAACATCCTAAGGAAGGTCGTGCTCCCCAAGGCCAAGTCGCTCTTCTTCCGCTCAAGCAATGTCAAGGTCGGGTCCATATCTAAGTTGTCTATAAACATTTTGTAAAAATAATACTTGCAGGATAGATAGGTTAAAAGTGTACGTTTTTGCTTTTAATTCCGCTTGGCATTGGTTTTGAATAATAAAGTTTTTTTTAGCAAACATTTCTACACAGAAAATACTTGTTACAATTAAGCTTGAATTTTAACAATATATTTTTCTTTTAATAAATGTTATAAAGAATGTACGATTTTTTAAAAAATAATTATACTACATAGTTCACACTTCTGGGTGTACTACTTCTAGATTGCTTTATTTTTAAAAAGTGGTCCCTATCATAAAATAATAATATGTAATAATATCCTATTGGCATAGGCCTACTCTTTATCTTTTTTTTGTGTTAATTAGTATTAGCAGTATTAGTTTTTAAGCATTAAATATTTCACAGGAATAAAAAATCTTCGTCTTATAGTGTATGCTATCATCTTGTAATAGTGTTTTATGATGGTTAAAAAAAATATACACAAAGACCTATTTCTTAAGATGATCTTTTATGATTGGTGGAATAAAAAAAATACCCCACTCACCAAAACGGAACTATCGTCCACTTCCAGATCCGCATCAATGCCCTGACCTGCATTGACCACTTGCTGGACAGTCTAGACAAGATGCTCATACTGGACAACATTCTACCTTTCCTGGCCAACATTTCTGGTCAAGACCCGGATGTTGTTATGTGTGTCGTAGGTAAGATCTTTAAATAGGTGGGAGTTAAAGATGATCTTTAGATAGGTGGGATTTAAAGATGATCTTTAGATAGGTGGCATTTAAAGATATTTAGATAGGTGGGATTTAAAGATGATCTTTAGATAGGTGGGATTTAAAGATGATCTTTAGATAGGTGGGATTTAAAGATATTTAGATAGGTGGCATTTAAAGATATTTAGAAAGGTGGGATTTAAAGATGATCTTTAGATAGGTGGGATTTAAAGATATTTAGATATGTGGCATTTAAAGATATTTAGATAGGTGGGATTTAAAGATGATCCTTAGATAGGTGGGATTTAAAGATATTTAGATAGGTGGGATTTAAAGATGATATTTAGATAGGTGGGATTTAAAGATGATCTTTAGATAGGTGGGATTTAAAGATATTTAGATAGGTGGGATTTAAAGATGATATTTAGATAGGTGGGATTTAAAGATGATCTTTAGATAGGTGGGATTTAAAGATATTTAGATTGGTTGGATTTAAAGATAATCTTTAGATAGGTGGGATTTAAAGTTAATCTTTAGACAGGTGGGATTTAAAGATGATCTTTAGATAAGTGGGATTTAAAGATGATCTTTAGATAGGTGGGATTTAAAGATATTTAGATAGGTGGGATTTAAAGATGATGTTTAGATAGGTGGGATTTAAAGATGATCTTTAGATAGGTGGGATTTAAATATAATCTTTAGATAGGTTGAATTTAAAGATATTTAGATAGGTGGGATTTAAAGATGATCTTTAGATAGGTGGGATTTAAACATGATCTTTAGATAGGTGGGATTAAAAATGATCTTTAGATAGGTGGGATTTAAAGATGATCTTTAGATAGGTGGGATTTAAAAATGATCATTAGGTAGGTGGGTTTAAAGATGATCTTTAGATACATGGGATTTAAAGATTATCATCGTAAGATTGTTTTTTATGTCTCAGGCTTGTAATCTTTATCATCGAGCCTCGATGTTGCACCAGAAATGTACGCTGTTGCATTACTTTGTTCATTATTTTTAATCATCATTCGACATATTATTTTTTTTTTTGACTGGAAAGTTGTTTATTAAGTCACATTTTATACATCTGAATGTTCTATTTATAAGCATTCTCTCTTTCATTCAAGGTTTTCACAAATGGTACATGTAACAGCACATTTAATGCAATTGTTAATTTAAAAGATGTATGCTATGTACATCCAATAGTAAACACCTAAAACGGCACAATACCATTATCTAAGAATAACAATTATATTTCTAATTTGTATACAAAAAGTTAAAATAAGCAAGATAGATCAAGATCTAAACAAAAATATTAGTAAAATCAATATCCATAATTGTTAAACCATAAAAAAGTTTATACCTAAAAATGATTAGTTATGCTTGTGTAGTGATTCATTTAAAATTCTTGGCAACAAATTCCTCTCCTTTCTTGATATTTGCTAGCAATTCTTGCATTGCCAAAGTAACAAGATTACGTTCATAATCCAACAGCTTGCCAATTCCAAGATTCTTCTCAATACCATTTTTCCCTAATAAAATAGGCGTGGCAAAATATTTTGCCTCTGTCTCATCTGATCTCACAAAAGCACATTGTACTTTTCCTTCTGTGCCATTCATCGCTTCAAGTAAATCATTTGCAAATACACTGGCAGCATAAGCCATAGAGAGTGTAGCAGAACCATTCGACATATTATTATTCTACTTTATTTTTTTATTTTTTTTTAAACTTTAAGCATATTATAATGCTAAAGAGGTATTATTTTTTTTTTTTCTTTTTTTTTTAATTTTCTTTTTTTTTCTTTTTTTTTTTTTTATTTTCTTTTTTTTTTTTTTTTTTTTTTTTTATTTTCTTTTTTTTTTTTTTTTTTATTTTTTTTTATTTTTTTTTTTTTTTGCTTAAATACACCAAATTTGTGGAAATGGACATAACTCCGATTCTTGTAATCTCTAATCTTAATGTTTCGCTAACATTTTGAATAGTGTATCAGTGTTTGACACAACTGTAGCAGCACTAGGTTAAAAAGTTAATTTACTTAACTAATTTTATTAAAAAAAACTTAATTATATAAAAAAAAGCTAAAAATCTCAGTAAAGCATAACGAATCTGATATTTTAATTTATTTTTATCGCATTGAATTATTCTGCATTTAACATTTTAGGAATAAATGTATAGGTTTGTTCCCTTGTATATTGCGGTATATTACATGGGAAATAAAAAATGAAAATTAATAATATACTATGTGCAAAAACAAAAAACAAAACAAAAAAGTAATGACCAAATAAGTCAGGAAAAATATCTAAAATAACTCAAGAAAAAAACTAAATTGCTCTGGATAAATTATCTTACGGACAAAATATCTCAGCACAAGACCTCTACAAGTACAAAAATATCATTACTAATATCTCCTTTACCCAGTAATACACAAGTATATTATCTCCGAAAACTACAACTATTGCTATACTTATTTTTATATATTAAATCTGTGTTCTGTATTATTTATATTCGACTTCCCCACCTTCACTAATATAAGTCCGCGAATCGTCAGAGAAACGCACCATATACACTATACAGTACACAAAACACATACAACATACATCATTGAGAACTAACTCAACATTTTCTGTTCTTGCAGGGATATACAAGCATATGCTCAGTGACAAGAAGTTTGGTCTCACTCCAACATACAACATACATCATTGAGAACTAACTCAACATTTTCTGTTCTTGCAGGCATATACAAGCATATGCTCAGTGACAAGAAGTTTGGTTTGACTCACAACTTGATAGCCACCAAGGTCATGCCAACCCTCATCCCACACACGGTTAACCCAGGGTTGAACATGGAGCAGGTACACATCACGTTTAACTTTAGTAGCGTCAGGTTTAACTTAGCGACATCACGTTTAACTTAAACTACTTCACGTTTAACTTTAGCAACATCGCGTTTAACTTTAGCTGCATTAGGTGTAACTTTAGCGACATTAGGTTTAACTTTAGCGACATCCCGTTTTACTTTAGCGACATCAGGTTTAACTTTAGCGACATTATGTTTAACTTTAGCGACATCACGCTGAACATCAAATTTGACTGTGCATCTTGTCTAACGTTATTTACATTTCGTCTAAAGTATCCAAATCTTGTATAACTCAATCCCCATATAGTCAAATTCTGTCTAACTATATCCACACATTGTCTAGCTGTATCCACATACTGTCTAGACTTATCCACATACTGTCTAGACTTATCCACATACTGTCTAGACTTATCCACATATTGTCTAGCTGTATCCACATATTGTCTAGACTTATCCACATATTGTCTAGACCTATCCACATATTGTCTAGCTTTATCCACATCTTGTCTAGACTTATCCATATATTGTCTTGCTGTATCAACATCTTGTCTAGCTTTATCTATCCTTTATAAGTGTACGCAACCCCACTGACGATGTTGTATAGATTTGCTTAAATGAACTATGTTTCAGTGAAAGTATAGATTGTTTGTTTGTGAAAACGAAAAAAAATTACTTGACGACAAAAAAAAGTCAATACTTATATTTTCAATTAAAATAAATAACATCAACATGTGAGTGGGCGAATTTTTCTGTAGTAACTTTAAAAGTTTTACAGCAACAAAATGTAAATATAAATGCATAATACTATGCATGTTGTGAAGCTTATTTAGATATGCACAGCGCAAAAAAAGGGTAATTAGTAAAATGAATTTAAGCAAAGAAAAAAGGTTGGGATATGGGTGATGGGTGAGACCAAGGGGTCATGGGGTCATGGGGTCATGGGGTCAAAGTCGTTACAAGCGAAGAGGATAGGTTGGGGAGGGATTACGGGTTATTAGTTTAGTCCGGTTTAGTATAATGTTTGGACTCGGGGAATGTGGGTTGGGTTTGGGTGGGGGGGGGGGGGAGGTTTTGAGAAAACTTCCTGAAGTAAGGTAGGTTGTACTAATCAATCGAAAAAAAAATTGCATAAGAAAAGTTTTAATAATCTTTATGTAATAATGCACAAATAAAGGACAAAATAAATGATTTTCTTTAAAATATACAATGATACAGAGGCGTAGCGATAGAAGGCGGGGGTGCGGGCCGCACCAGGTGACACCATTTAGGGGGGAGACACCAAGGTAAAATTGTAAAATGTACAGAAGAAAAAGTTTTTTTCTGCCAGTGCCATTAATGATTAATTTAAGTAAAATAGTATTTTATTTACAAATCGACAACTGTTACAAACCATGACGTAAACGTGCTAACTATAGAGAAAACATTGCTATCCAACTGTATTATTAACAGACTAAAGATAAACATCGTTACTCTTATGTCTGCATTGATTAAAGCTTATACACATACATAGGTAGTATGCGGGATATATTTATATTACAGGTCTAACACACACACACACACACACACACACACACACACACACATATATATATATATATATATATATATATATATATATATATATATATATATATATATATATATATATATATGTATATATATATATATATATATATATATATATATATATATATATATTAATTTATTTATTCATTTATTTATAAAAATATATATACTTGGTTTCTTGTGTGTGGGGGGGGGGTGACAAAGTGGCTCACCGGGTGATACCCGACCTATTGACGCCACTGTAATGATACACTACTATTTAAATATCTATAGAGAATTGCGTGGTCCACTATATTAGTTATTGGATGCCTTTACTAATATTTAGGAAGAATCCGTCTATTTTCTTTAAAATTATTTAAATAGTAGCGTAGCACTATATATTTTCGAAAATCATTTATATTCTATTTTTTAGTGCATTATTACATAAAAATTTGTTATTAAGGCGTCTTTTATGCAATTTTTTTATTACTTTAAAAATGTTAATACAATAGAGTTACATGACTAAAAACTATTGCGCACAAAATGAACAAGATAACGCGGGTATAATAGTGCGGAATAGTAATAGGACACCCCACTAATTTAAGAAAAGTTTAACCAATTCTTTAAAATTAATTAGTCATACAATTAAGTCAAATTGGTGTCAGATCGCGTAGTCTTAACCCACGTTAAAATTATTATATTAATCGGTCAGTTAGCAGTGCGCGAAATTTCTCTCGCCCTTTTTTATCTAAGACGGCATATCCACAAGCAGAAAGCAATGGTTTTTTTTTTGTTTTTTTTTGTTTTTTTTAGCAATTTTTTTTTATTTAGGTAAGGTCTTTATTAGATAAAATGTGTATCATACAAAATTTATTTAAGTTTTAGCTTAGCTTGAGTTGTGTTCAGAACAAATTAAATCTATAATTTTACTGCATAATTAGGTCAGTATGAAATGTTGCATGTGTAAATAATTGAGTGGAGTAGTTTAATTGTTTAAAGAATTGCGTAGTTTACTTGTGTGTTAGTGGACAAGTTTAAAAAATAATGTATGACAACTGTCAAAATAAATGAAATCATCAATGCCAGTATCAGTGGCGTAGCGAGGTCGGGTGTCACCCGGTGCGGCACTTAATGGTGTCACCCCCCAGAGGCGTTGCGACCCTTCCCGGGGACAAACTTTCATGTTTTTGATTTGCACCCACTCCTCAAACTTTTGATTTACACCCCCCCTTAAGTCTATATATTTTGCTATTTTTTGCCTTGGTGTCACTCCCTAAATGGTGTCACCCGGTGCGGTCCGCACCCCCGCCCCCCCCCCCCCCCTCGCTACGCCCCTGGCCAGTATCCTTATACAGTGACAATAATTCAACAAAAAGTTTTGAGTATAATCATGAGCTTGTTAATACACTTATGAATACAAACTATATTCAAATGAAATCAATGTCAATATTTACAGTATTTAGTGTTTAAGTGTAGGCTGTCTACGATGTTACATGAAAATATTAACAAATGAATGATGGTTTGGTGAAATATATTACAATGTATAAAAATTTCATCATGATATTGTTATTTTAAAACGTTTATTTACATCATTTTTACTTATTTTTTGATGGAGATAAAATAATTTGTAGTTGGATGTGGAGAAATACACAAGTATGGAGACAACCAATGTATGAACTTAATAAGATATTACTGATCTGTCTGTTAAAAGAATATAAATTAGAATTTTGTAATTCAGACAATATCTCTGAATAAATAAAAATGCTACAAAAACTAGACCCATTATTAAATATCGTACAATATCCTTAATTATTTTAGAAGGTATTTGATAAAACTAAAGGTTTCTGTTTTAAATTAGAGTCAAAAGATAATTCAAAACATAAGAAAATATAATAAACAAACAAAAATTCATATGGCGCTTTAATATTTATATTTAATATTATAAAACTTACTTCTATTTTTCCTATCAAACTAATATTTAATTTTGACCTACTTTTGATTACTTTACTAAACATTGTTCTAAGTTGTATCCCTTGATTAGTTATATTTCTTTTTTTTTTAATAGGGGAAGTAACTAACAAAATTTAAAATTGATTTTAAAACAACTCTCAACTCTGTGTAATGTGACTGCGCCTATAACATGAAGAATTTTAAATTACATTTTTATATTTGATTACTGAAAAATACAGTTATGCAGAATTTTTTTTTATTACAATACATATAAATACGTATTGTTACTTTTAATTGTGTATATATATTATAATGTTCCTGACTACCATAGCACTGGTTTAGAGTCCAGTCGAGTTTAAATGAGAAATGGGCAACAACTGGCATAACATTCAACAAGCCGGGAATTAGCGGATTCACTCCCCTTTAATTATAAAAACATTGTGATGGTGATAGTTAATTATAATGAAGTTTTGGGATGAGCTTTTAATACCTTGTTACATAATTGTGCTTTTAAATGCCCTGAAAATAATAGAATAAAACAAATTTGGTTTTTTTTGAATGAAGACATCGGTTTATCTTAGATTCCTCCATACCTTGTGACCAATGTTTTCATTCAAACACAGATTCAGCAAGTTTTTTTTTTTTTTTTTTTTTTTTTTTTTTGTAAAACCCTGATCGTATTTCTGGGTTGTTTCGTCTATGTTGTCTAGATCCTGAGTTTTCTACATATTATGAGAATAGTCTCAGTATCTATTGGCCTTAGTCTTGAGTTGTCTAAATCTTGTGAGAATTGTATTAGGATCTGTCTGTTTGTTAAAATTAATTAATTTTAAATAAAGCCACCAACAAGTCATTAACTTAATCAATTTTCAAATGTAGAGGGGGTGGGGGTTGAAGATTTCCCCCCTTCATTTACCCCAAGAATTACTGTAAATTATGTTGTTTTCAAACTCAAGGCTGAGACCAACGTATCCTAATACAATTCTCACAAGAGTTAGACAACTTAAGACTAAGACCATTCCTAATTTACCATTTGCCTACCACCCCCCCTTCACCTCTACATCCTTCAACTCCTACCTACCCCCCCCCCCCCCCCCAACACCAACCCTACCCGGCTCTGTATATAAAGCAAGCTAAAGGCTGGAAACTTCAATGAAACTAGCACCAGTACTAAAGTATCCAGTCACGGCATTGTAATGGAAAGGGGGGGGGGTGGGAAATTACTCACCCTAACACGCCCACGCCACGTGCCGGATACAGCCACCCTCAGCAGGTGATAGGTGTAGATACAAGTCCTACACCCCACCCCAGGTGCGAACTGTTACCGGCGAATCAAAAGACTGGCAGACGATCTTTGGTCGGTTGTGTTTTGTTTACGTCCTGAGCTCGCCCTCGCTTTCATCTTGCTTTGCCCTTTCATTAACCGCGGACTGTGTACCACGTGATGCCCGGCTACAGCTTTGGCTTGTGTTTACAAAATGAACTTTTTTTTTTACTTTCAGAAAGTTTTTAAAATAATTATTTTTTAATTAAGAGCGTTTGTTTCGTCAATTTAAAAAAAAAGCATTCCATATTTTTACCAGTTACAAACAAAATTAATGATCTCCTTTTACTTTTAACACCTAACTCTTACTTTCATTAACAAAATTACATTTTCTAACTAAAACAGACGCTACATTCTGTTTCTCGTTTTGACAAAACGTATCTAGAATCTCAGTTTAATGAGCAGATGTGTTCATTTCCAGGTTTAATTACAGTTAGTTCCCCATGTAGTTAACTTTTCAAAACACTTATCCATAATTTTAACTAGTGTTAATTCCACATTTGTTTATATATTAACAGTATTTTTCTTTAAGCATTGATTACTAATTTGTTAAAGAATAACATAAATTAATTCTAAATTTAATTTCATAACAAATTTCCCATTTTTAACGCTAACGTAAATTTGCTTTTGTGTATAACTTACAGGGTCGGTTACCCATTTATTCTCACGAAACATTTTGTTATACAACTATACGCCATAATTATGCTAAATGACTTGCAATTTTGTATAACTGAAATATTAGCCCATGAATTTACTACAAACCATGCCCATTTTTTTTTACAAATTCTGTCTAGTTCTATAACTAAACTCTAATCTAAATCCTTCAATACAAATCATTGACTAGATTTATGACTAACATCAACAGCCCATATCACCAATACAATCCATCCACTTGTTGTATAAGGCGCAGAGGAGTAGCGAGGGGGGGGGGGGGGCGGGGCACCGGGTGACACCATTTAGGGGGGTGGGGTGACACCAAGGCGAAAAATAGCAAAATATATAGAGAAAACTTGAGAAGGTGCAAATCGAAAATTTGAAAGTTTGTCCCCGGGTAGGGTCGCTACGCCTCTGGGGGTGACACCATTTAGTGCCGCACCGGGTGATACCCGACCTCGCTACGCCACTGATAAGGCGACAATCCATGTCCTTCACTACGAACCCTCTACATGTTGTATAACACTCCACCCACATATTGTATAACACTCCACCCACATATTGTATTTCAGTCCACTCATATGTTGTATAACACTCCACCCACATGTTGTATAACACTCCACCCACATGTTGTATAACACAACCACACGTTATATATAACACACACACCCACATGTTGCGTAACACTCCGCCCACATGTTGTATAACACTCCAACCACATGTTGTATAACAACCCCACACGTTATATAACACACCACCCACATGGTATACACCACACCACCCACACATCGTATAACACCACCCACATGGTATATACCACACCACCCACACGTCGTATAACACACACACAAGTTGTATACCACACCACCCACACATCGTATAACACCACCCACATGGTATATACCACACCACCCACACATCGTATAACACCACCCACATGGTATACACCACACCACCCACACATCGTATAACACCACCCACATGGTATATACCACACCACCCACACGTCGTATAACACCACCCACATGGTATACACCACACCACCCACACATCGTATAACACATCCCCCACTTGCTATCCCCACAGTTTAGCTCACTGATGGAAGTTCTGCGCGAGATGTTGGAGCAGGTAGACAAGCAGAGACGGGACAAGATGAAGCTGGAGACGGTCACGTTACCTGTACCCCCCAGGTAGGTTTACTTCCTACTCACGACCTTGTTCCTCCCCCCCCCCCCCCCATATTATACAATCTCCGCCTCTCGACAGTATACCCTCCCTCCCTCCCCAACACAAGGTTACAATCTCACCCCCCTCCCTTCGACCATAAAAACCCCACACCCTCACCTCCAACACTCGACCCTACACCCTTCCCCCCCCCCACATCCCACACTCGACCCTACACCCCTCCCCCACATCCCACACTCGACCCTACACCCCTCCCCCACATCCCACACTCGACCCTACACCCCTCCCCCACATCCCACACTCGACCCAACACCCCTCCCCTTTCTTGACCACCCCCCCCCCTCCCTCCCACACACTTATCAAAAAATGCAACCTGGAGACGTTTTTAACCCAACGTTTTACTCATTACTTCCTTCCTTCTTTAGCTCTTCTCTGAACACTACTGCAGGTACGCGTTAAAAACGTCTTTCCTTCTCATAAAATGTAAAGTGTATAGTGACACAGGCTCCGAACTAAATTGTTACTTTTTTCTTTGCTAATTATGTAGAGAACGTGTCGGGAGGGGGGTAAGGGATGTTCAAGTCGTGTTTATTTGTGTGTCATGTTTTTGTTCTGTTATCCTACTCGTGTGTTGCCGTGTTTGTGCTACCACATATGTTTTATGTATGTGTTGTGTTTGCAGGTGTGTGTTATGTATGTGTTGTGTTTGAACAGGTGGGTTTCTAACAGAAAACAATTGCTAACATGTCAAAAGATGCTGTAAATTTAGTTTTGTTTTCTATTTCTCAAGCACCAACAACAGAGAAGTACAATTTTTGACAAGAATCACCTGAAAAAAAAGGAAGAAAATAAAAAGAAAATAAGATGTTTTAATAAGTAATTTTTCACAAAGATTGGATAGCGGACTTCGACACACACACAAACTGCCTGATAAAAATGTTATGACTTCTTAAATATTCACGTTTTAGCGTATTTGTGTTTTGTTTTAAATGTAATAGATGGCAGATGATGTAGGGAATGGGAATATGTTTAGGTCAGGAGTAGGACGTTCTTGATGGTGGGTAATGGGGGGGGGGGGGACAACAGGGGGTAAGGGTAAGGAGTGGGGGTGTGGTGATGTCAGACGTGAGGGGAAGTTAGGGTGGGGTAAGAATAGAGGTGAGAACCTTAAGTTGGACAGAGAGGATTAATCCGTCTGAGGGTGAAAAAGACGTGCGTCTAAATTGACGATACAAAATAAATTGGTTACTTTTTGTATTCTCTTTATTAGCAATGTATAGTTGAGTTCGCAGATTTGAAAATATGTGTCTGTGTATTTTGCAAAACCGTTTTTTTTATTGGCTGATAATATTATTTATAAGTGTATTGTAAAGTCGTTTTTTCCCTTATAATAGAGTATTATTTATTTGTTAATTGTAAAGTCGTTGATTCTCTGACAAAAGATTATTATCTGTGTATTGTAAAGTCGGTTATTGGATTGGTTGTTATCTGCATCACATGGGGATTTAAATTATCTGGATTTTTTAAAAAGAAAAACGTCATTAAATCTCGATGAACGCCTATCTGGTTATCGCGTTATTAGATCTATTTTTAGATCAAATATGGGGGAAAACCCGAAGTTTCTTGCTAATTACGTGCAGCTTTTGTGTTACGTTCGTGGGTGTTGCGTAATCTTAGGTTTTGCATATGATTTTACAAGACTTTGGTCAGTAACAATTGTTGGACATTATAAGAATGGTGGTAGGACACTGCGAGAATGATGGTTGGATATTTTGAGAATGATGGTTTCACATTGTGAAAATAATGGTTGCATATTGAGAGAATGATGGTAAGAAATGTTGATACTGATGGTTAGACATTGTGATAATAATGGTAGGACATTGTGATACTGATGGTTAGACATGTTTATAGTGATGATGCTATATCAGGCAACAATACTGGTGACAGAGACTGGAGCTTTATTTCTCACTCTAGGCGACACCATCAGCACACTGTACGGTTTATCCGTTACAGAAACAGCAAGTGTGTTTGTGTGTGTTGGTGATTGTGTGTGTGAGTGTGTGTTGGTTTGTGTGAGTGTGTGTTTGTGTGTGTGTGTGTGAGAGTGGGTGGGTGGGTGGGTTGGTTGTGTGTGTGTGTGTGAGTGTGTATATGTAAGTGGTTCTCTTTCATGTGAGTTTGTTTGGCTGTTGTTTTGTTCTAAAAAACAAACATTGCCTAGCAGCGTTAGATATTTTGAATCTCTTAAGACAGGGGAACCCAATCCCGTGCCCGCGGGCGCCATGGCGCCCGCTGAACGATTCGTATGTGCCCGCCTCTCACTATTCGACAGAATTTTTTTCATAAACATTATTTTAAAATATGATTTATTTTTATTCATTTGTTACAGTTTTAATTTTTTTTTGAATGCTTAGGTTTATTAAATATGTTTGATACTTGTCCCAACTTGTCTAGCGGCGAGCCAGACTGCTCTATTTACGGTTTGTAAATACATTTCTCTGTGTGTATGCAATTTGAAAAAAATGCCAAATAATTTTATTATTTTGAAACAGTTTTGTTTATTATTTATTAATACATTATGACTATAATATAATAAGAAAATAAGAAACTAAATTATTGGAAAATGTTAATATGACACGTTATGGAAGGAGTTTGTCGATTTAAAATAGGTGATGCCCGCCGCCCTACCGATAATTTAGAATGTGCTCTAGAGTAGAAAAAGGTTGGGAACCCCTGTCTTAAGATATGTATTTGTAAATATGCCGTTCGACAAGTCGGCGGAGTGTTTCTCGATTTTATATTACAGATTTTCTTATTTAAAAATGTCGGGGTGGGGGTTGCACAGGCAAATGTATTATCTTTAAATATAGAAGCTCAAGCCATATGGACCAAATAATGTTTCGCATGATTGAAATCACATATTCACATATCCGAAAGGTCAAACAACCACTCGAATGTTGTGTTCAGGTTCAGAGGTCAAACTTTGACCGACATCATTGGACCTCCTCACCCAATAGCTTAACCTCCCCCACCCTCCCCACCACACAACCCCCACCCTCCCCACCACACCACACCCCCAATCTACGCCACCCCGCCCCGTGGAGTTAATTATTCATTAACTTTTACTTACGGCGAAGCTGCCATCCCTGATTAAACTTTAATTACGTAACCGTAACCTATATACACGTTAGCGAAAGAAAATTACGAATGCGATTACAATTGGATTCGATTACCATAATCTATTTCCAGTCACAACTCGCTAACATCTCTATGTAAACTGGTTTAGGTTTAGGTTAGAGTGTAATAATGTGTTCAGGTGATACCTTTTATTTTATTTTTGGTCTCTCCACTTTAAAAACAGACGTCATTGTCAGGCTTGCCAGATTGGCAGTTAAGTGCCAAATATTAGAGACAAGCCAAGCAAATATTCAAATCCAACTACAAAAACAAAACAATTTTTGCGTCTGAGGGCATCTTTTATAAATTACATTTTTTAAATAATTGTTTACGTTTCAACTTTAAATAAACGAAATTAAGATACAAGTGTTTATTCATGTTTAAAACAACGTGATTCGAGCAATGTATAATGGAGAATAAAGTACCAGGTATATTTTGAAAATCAGGGAATGTATAATGTCATAGAAGATCAAGTACTGACATCCAGATATTTAAACTATCTTAAGTCGTGCAGATGTAACTAGCAGAGTTTATCTCCCTTGACGACGCTTAACTACTTCAAGTAGAAATTTACACCTGGGTACAATCGAATATGTAGCATGTATAACCGATTCTGAAAATATCGTAAGTATCGAAATAATTTTCTCTTTTCAAAAATTAACCAAACAATATTTCTTCTACGCTTTTGTTTTTAGAAAAACAAATAACTACAAAACATCGACAAGTCTGGCATTTTTAACAACCATGTTTTAGCTCTGGTGGTCGTAATCGAAATCACCCGGTTGATTTGATGCGGTCCGACATTTTATGAAATGACCAAAGTGATCACGCGATACGCCAACTCTCGCAGAGTGTCGTTCAGTTGTTTTTTTTCTGACGAGATAAGGACGAGATAGGGCAAGATGGGCTATTTGAACTAATGAGTAGATGGGTGACCACTCCTAGTTGGTGATGCCCCATTAAGGTTTTATGACCAGTCACCGCCTCTGTCGTGTTGATAAAGGTCACGCTTAGCACGCAGACCTCGTTGTGGTGGAGGGGGGGGGATCTACTACAGCGGTTCTGTAAATGTTCTAGCACACCTCGTTGTGGTGGAGGGGGGGGGGATCTACTACAGCGGTTCTGTAAATGTTCTAGCACACCTCGTTGTGGTGGAGGGGATCTACAACAGTGTAGTAGACCTAGCTGTCATGGGGGGTGGGGGGGGGGGTCCTACAACAGCGGTTCTGTAAATGTAGTAGACCTCGTTTTGATGGAGGGGGTCTACCACAGCGGTTCTCTGAATATTCTAGCAGACCTAGTTGTGATGGGGGGGGGGGGGATCTACAACAGCGATTCTGTAAATATTGTAGCAGACCTAGCTGTGATTGAGTGGATCTACAACAGCGGTTCTCTTAATATTCTAGCAGACCTTGTTGTGATGGAGGGGATCTAATACAGCGGTTCTCCGAATATTCTTTGTAGGCCTATCCCTCTTTTAGTGCATTTTGTTGGTTCTATGATTGTAATAGTTTTTAAGAGTATAGTTCTTATATAACTGTTCTATGTAAACTAGCCCCTTTCTTTAGTGTATCTTGAATTTTCTACCTTAGTGATAGCTGATAGGCTATAGTGGTTTTCCAACTGTTGTATGCAGACGTAAACACCTATTTCCTACTTCGAGAATGTTGATTGACAACGACAGTTTTAGTAACTCTAAACTGTGAAAAGCAATTATGATTAGCAATTACAAAGGAAGTTTCGACCCATGGTCTTCGTCAGCAGAGATCAGACTTTGTTCATCGTTAAAAACCATTCTCAATCATCCATGATGACTGGGGTCTTGTAT